AAAATTGGAGTTTATATATAAATTCGACCTTGTCTACCGAGATAGCCCAAGCGGTAAGGCACGTCAGCGTATATGACGGTTCCGTATAGGATGCAGGTTCGAATTGTCAAAGAACGAAAATTTTCTATGAAAATAAATGTAAGGTAAATGTTATTTAATACTGTTTATCATAAACAGAGCATTTGCTTAAATACTTGTATCTATAAAATAAACAACATAAAATATGTCTTTAATAAATAAATTGTCGGACCTTGTCCATTTTTAATATATGATACATACATATATATATATATATATATATATTAGGTTGATAATCATAAATAAATAATAATAAAATAGTCATAAATATTTTGTTTTTATCAACTTTATTCTTCAAAAAACAAAGTACAATTACAGTTTATTTAATTATATATTCGCCATTATTTGATATTTCTTGAAACCACTTATCAGGTGGCTCTTCTATACTGTTTGAGAAAAATATCAAATATAAGGTTTTGGTTTGAAGAGGTTTTCAACAAATTATGGGTTTGTGAGGCTACTTAACCCATTTTTTCACAGTTGTTCTTTTTCTAGTGTCTGTCCTGACCCAAGAAGAAATGGCATCTGCACGTAACTGAATGTAAGAAACTCGACTCACTCATTCCTCATACACCCCCATACCGCCATTTAAGGGTATTATGTTCATTTATATATTTAAAATTAACCTTTGAAAACTTTGTAATATTAAAAAAAACGGAAACATTTAGATAAACAAATGAGCAATATAAAAAAACAAAACAAAACAAAAAACCCTAAAAAATGCACAAGGCGAGTGAGATATCCCTTCAGTTCGAAATACTCTGAAGAAGGTAGGAGGGTAGAATGACTGAAACGTTGTGATAATAACAACGGAGATGAGGATATTGGTTCGAATGTAAATAATCATAATTCCTCATGCCAGAAATGTAGGCAGTGATAATAAGAACTTAACCCAATATACCGCCATTTTTTATTTGCGGGAAAACTTGTATGTCTATAATTTACAAGATGCTTTCATATAAAAAAACTTTTACTATTTGAAATGTTCCCCCTCAAAAAATAGCAGGCAAGATTCGGATATATATATATATATATATATATATATATATATATATATATATATATATATATAATTTATTTTCGGATATTATATCGAAAGCATGTCAAAATCGATATACAATGGCTGTCGTGCTTCAACGCATATCAATGCGTCTCATCAGGCAATTGTAAATTACTGGCGAATGAACGATTTAGATTTAAAAGTAAAATACAACCTCTTTTATGAAAAAAAAGGAAAAAAGGGTTTATAAGGTTTGTGGGCATTACTTAGATCAACCAATCGAATATGACCTGCGTTAAAGTAAGCGAAGAAGCAAAAATTAAGAAATTATTTTTCATAAATGGGTCATGACCCGTAGATTGGCAGTCAATGACAGCACAGACTGGATAGGATTGTATCATGGTGGACTAAGTTAATGTTTTGTAATTTGCTGAGAAAGTCAGTAGTGTCTCTAATATAACTAGGTATGTCAGGCAATCCACCATGATACAATCCTAGTAACGATGGATGTTTCGTCCCTTTACACGAACATTCCACATGTTGAAGGAGTATCAGCTTGCTATGAGTTCCTTAGTAACAAAAAATTACCTAACTACCAAATTACAGATATATGCCAATTAATAAAGTTCATCTTAACACATAATAATTTTAAATTCAACAACAAACACTATTTACAGATTAGTGGCACAGCAATGGGCACAAAATGGCACCTAGTTATGCTAATATCTTTATGTACATTCTAGAAAAGAAGATACTAGACAATTCAGAATATAAACCATCACATTACTTTTAGATATATTGATGACATTTTCTTATTATGGACTCATGGATCAGAAAAATTAAAACCTTTTTCACTTTCTGCAACAATTTCCACGATACAATTAAATTTACCATGGAGCACTCATACACATCCATCCCTTTCTTAGACGTTATGATAAAATTAAACAAACATACACTTTCTACCAGTCTATACAACAAACCCACAAACCAACATAAATTCCTGCACTTTAACAGCTGTCATCCCTTTAAATTAAAAAAAAAAATCTATTGTATACAGCTCATTTCTAAGAATCAAACGCATATGCTCAGACCATTTAGATTTTCTATACAACATTAATAACTTAACAAAACAATTCCTAAAATGCAAATACCCAATAAAAATAATAAAAGAAGCACTAAATAAAATTATCCTGATAAATCGTAACACACTTCTCACATACAAGAAAAATAAAAGCAACAATCGGATTCCCATGGTTTTTAACCACAATCAATATTCCCACACACTTATTCACAATTTAAAAAATGATTACAAGAACCTCCAATTAGACAACAAGATCAAAGACATTTTCGATAAACCACCCATAAATGCAATGAAACAATCACCTAACTCATCAGCTATCCTCACCTCTACCAAATATCTAAACAATAGAAACCAAACAGGAAATTACAAATGTAACAAACCTCGTTGCTTAGTTTGCAAACATTTAGTAATAGCTAATACATTTTACGTACCCAACACCAATATCAGGATACAGCCACCTAACCTCACCTGCGATACCCATAACGTAATCTATTATTTATTCTGCAACTTATGTCCTAATAGTGGATATATTGGTGAGTCTGGAAACAATTTTAGATTTCGTTTTAATAACCATAAACAAAACAATACGTCAAAAACAACCCTTATTCCCCCATAGCTAAAAACACTACAATCAATCAGGACACACATTAGAAAACTGCAAATCTTTATTAATAGATTCCGATTTTACTCCACATTCACACGCAAAAAAAAAAACAAATATTGGATTTTTAAAATTAAATACACATAAATTAGGGTTGAATAGGGACTTAGGTGTTTTAAATCTTTATAAATATTTCAATAGTTAAGCAATTTTTTTAGATATAGTAAAAAAATTTTTTTTTTTTTTTTTAAATATTTATGACAGTTAGATTTAAGTTAGAAATATCGGAACAGTGACGTTCCATATCACGTGACGTCCGCGTCTCGCGAAGGACGCTACTTGCTAACAAACAGTAATTTTAATTTATTTGTAACAAACAGTTATTTCTGATGAAAAATTGAGGACAATTTGAAATATCAAATATATATATAAATAAATAAATACTTTCATAAAATAAAACATTATAATTTTTAATTTGAAACTTTTTCTATATATATATATATATATATATATATATATATATATATATATATAAAAATGTGTGCGCATATGCGCACGCGCGTGTGTATGTGTAATTAATCTAGAAAAGTTAAAGTGAATAATCTGGTTTACCGAGATAAGTCACTTGTACCATTTCTAAATATAATGTTATAGCACAAGTTATCTGTTGACCGTTTTTTTTGACAGAAGCTCTGCTGGCGTGAAAAACACGTTAAATGCTTGTAATGTTCACGTATTTTTTTAGTTTTAGTTCAATATTGTTATTAATTATTCCATGGGTCGAATCAACAGTGTACCTTTTCGCAGGGGTACAACATATTATTACAGTAATAAAAACAGACATTAAAAGAACAGTCAGAAAAAAAGACGGGTAGCAAGAAAAATATTACAGTAAATTGGTAATATCTATATAAACTATTAATTTTGAAAAATGTATATATATATATATATATATATATATATTTCTAAATATATATGTATAAAGGGATTTTCTATCTAGACTGGTCATGAGTTTGTCATTCATGTTTATTTCCTTAGTTTTAAATTAGGCTGCCTGACTTTATATGTAGTGAAATGGTTAGCAAGGTTTTCTTGTCCGATCAATTACGACTCAGAAGTGAATTTTTCTCGCCAGACCAGTTACAACTGAGAAGCGAGCTTTTCTTGTCAGATTAAATACGATTGATATTGAGCTTTTGTCTGATGAATTACGACAGAATAGTGAGCTTTTCTTGCGAGATCAATTATAACTGAGCTCTTCATGCCTGATCAATTACGACTGAGTAATGAGCATTCTTGCCAGATTAATTATGACTGATTAGTTAGCTTCTGTTGCCAAATTAATTACGATGGAGTAGTGAACTTTTGTTGTCTGATCAATTACAACGGAGGTGTGAGCTTTTCTCGTGAGATAATTATGACTTAGCTTTTCCTTCTAGAACAATTTGACTGAGTAATGAGCTTCTCTATCCAGATTAATTACGACTGATTAATTAGCTTTTGTTGCCAGATTAATTACAACTGAGTTGTGAGCTTTTATTGCTACATCAATTACGACTGAGTAGTGAGCTTTTCTTGTAAGATCAATTACAACGGTGTCGTGAACTTTTCTTGCTAGTTCAATTACAACTGAGTAGTGATTTCTCTCGCTAGATGAATTAAAACTGAGTAGTACTTTTCTCTTGCTACCTCATTTACAACTGAGTAGTGATTCTATCTTGCTCGATCAATTGCAACTGAGTAGTGATTCTATCTTGGTAGATCAATTGCAATTGAGTAGTGATTTCTCTTGGTACATTAATTACAGCTGAGTAATATTTTTCTTTTTCTAGATCAATTATAACTGAGTAGTGGTTTCCTCTTTCTAGATCAACTACAACTGAGCAATGATTTTCTCTTGCTAGATTAATTACAATTGAATAGTGACTTTCTCTTACTAGATTAATTACTGAGTAGTATTTTATCTTTCTAGATCAATTATAACTGAGTAATGATTTCCTCTTGCTAGATCAATTGCAACTGAGTTGTAAGTTTGATCCTAACTGGGGGCTCCATACTTTCTAATTTATGCTTAGTATTTCAATATTGTTCATTCTGAATTAATAGGTAACTCGTGAAAACCGTTGCTAGTCCATTTTTATTCAAATTAAAGACCCAACCTGACAAATGAATAAAATATTAACGATTACCATACTAGACTAGCACGAGAATTGTTGAATCTTGAATAAAGGTTTCTATGAATGGAAGAATTCTTTCAGAAACTCCATGTACAGGTTTAGCAGTGGCATTGTGTATTTCTTGATTCTGTCATTTTTTTTTATATTTTGGAAACGAAGAACGGAGCGATGGGGGAGGGGGGAAGGTCAATAATGTGACTTCGATTAATGTCGAAAACAGAGCATTTCGACGGAGGTAAATCTATTGCGTCCTATTAACACTAAGTCGAACGTTTAAACTACCATTTTCGAAGGCTAGAGAAGGTATACACAAAAAACAGAAACGAACCAGACGGAAAACGTTCTCCTCGATGCTTTGCAGAAAAATGAAAAGACGTAAGAATCAATGGGAAAAAGAAAAAAAGTGCTACGGTGATGGAATGAATAGATTCGTGTGCTTTATGCATGACAACAAAGAAAAGAAACATCTTTCTTCTTTTATGTGTCGTGTCTCTTCAGTACGTACGCGATCATGGACCTCCACATCTTCCTGCCTCTCGTAGCGCTTAATAATTTTTTGTCTTTTTTGTTATTTCTCTGAAACCCTGTTCTCATCAAGTATCTTAAGCTCTGCTTTCCTCTGTTCCTCTTTCTCTCGATCTGCCCTGTGAGTATAAGATTTTCCAAGCCTTCTTTCCTCATTAAGTGCCCCAGGAACCTCAACTGCCTCTTCCTGATGTTACGTATACGTTTCCTTTTTGTATCTATTTCCTCCAAAAACTCGTCGTTGCTCACATGTTTGTCCCATGGTAACCAAAGCAAATGTTCTGTCCATGGCATTTTCACCATTCTTATGTAGAACCAAGCTTTTGTTGCTTCAAGTCTCTTCTTTATCTGTGAGGAGATTGTTCAGCATTCACTACCATATAAAAAGGAGGATTGATATTATATAACAGTTTAGTAATCTTTTCTTTGTTCCTGTTGCTTCATGTCTCTTCTTCATCTTTGAGGAGATTGTCCCACATTCACTGCCATATAGGAGGATTGATATTATATAACGGTTCAGCAATGTTTCCTTTGTTTCTGTTGCTTCATGTCTCTTCTTCATCTGTGAGGAGATTGTCCAGTATTCACTGCCATATAGGAGGATTGATAATTCATAACAGTTCAGTAATGTTTTCTTTGTTTCTGTTGCTTCAAGTCTCTTCTTCATCTTTGAGGAAATTGTCCAACATTCGCCACCATACAGGGGGAAAAATATCACGTACTAGTTCAATATTCTTTTCTTTAAGATACATAAAAGCATGGATGGAACTGTAGTGCGAAAGACTCACGGCCATATCACGTTGAAACACCGGTTCGCGTACGATCACCGATGTTAAGCAACATTGACCCAGGTCAGCATCTAGATTGGTGACAGCTTGGGAATACCAGGGGCTGTAAGCGTGGATGTGTGGCTGGTGTAATGAATAATGGCCCAGAGTTGTTAATCGGAGAGCCGATCTCCAGTTCCAGTCGGGTTGGTTATATTCGCTTAAGTGCAAATACCCTTTGGAAAGGTAGGAGTACGCCTCTACTTCCACGTAACTAAAACTATTTTCTGGCTTTAAATAACCTGTAAACGGGTTGATAAGCCGTAGAAAACAAATCAATCAGACAAATACTGAGTAGCTACAGATACATGTCTTATAGATTTATTTACATTCTCTGGAATATAAATCTATAATAATAGATCAGCTTGCCACCTCCCGCCTGTGAAAGAGAAGAAAATAATTTGTCACCCACAAGGCCTCGGAGATGCTTTTGGACTCTATTGAGGTTGGAAAATGTGGTCTATTCAGCTGCCGTCCAAATATGACAACAGTATTCCATTCTTAGCCTGATCTGGTCCTTTAAAAATAGATGATAGCATGCGGAGTCAGGTGCTTACTGGAGTGGTACAGGGAGCCAATCATTTTACCTGCATCTTTAGCGATGGCTCGTATGTACGATTTCCACTTGAGGTCATTTTTCAGCAAGTAGGTAGTCTTATTGATTTCATGCGAGATAATGGCGACAGATGACGTATAATAGATAACGTTTAACCCTAAACTTGAACACGTTAATATTGTAGTGATCGGGGAAACATCCTCTTGGGAGTCGATTCCACAGAGCAGTGGTTCAAGGAAAGAAGCTGTTCGAGTGGAACTTATTAATGGAATACGGAGGGAATGTAGGTGGGGGTTTGCTACAATGTAAGTGGTATGGCGGGTCCTAGCCGTGAAGGTTAAGGTCTGGTGGAACCAAGGAATGTAGTTCGTCTGAGCACTTTCCATGGGAGAAGCGACAGAGCAGCGAGAGGCTTGCCACATTCCGCCTGTGTGTGTGTGTGTGTGTGTGTGTGTGTGAGAGAGAGAGAGAGAGAGAGAGAGAGAGGGTGGAACATAATTTGTCACCCACAAGGACACGGAGATGCGTTTGGACTCTATCGAGGTTGGAAAATGTGGTCTATTTAGCTGCCGTCCAAATATGACAACAGTACTCTATTCTTAGCCTGATGGGGGTTCTTGCAAAGGTAGAGAATAGCACGTGTTGTCAGGTAAAAGAGACCGAAAAGAATTTAATATTCGCAGGGTACAATGAAGGCAAGAGAAACACGAGAAATCAGTGAGTATCCGGCTGGACATGTCTATGTAAAATGATGGCAAAACAGATACTCTCGGCTTAAATTTCATTCAGTAATCCTCTACCTTCAGTGGCTCTTGGGCCTTGTATAGTGGGAACTTTTTAAACCAGGACTGAAAGTTAGAAAGGATGAAACTCATCTTAGATCAGTCGGAAAACTATCATAGAATAATATATATATATAATATATATATATATATATATATATATATATATATATATATATATATATTTGAACTTTAATTCAATACTTCATGAGTTTCCGATCCTTAGCCATGATTAATTAATGATGAACATATATTAGTTTAATATCGATTTCATCACGATTCTTCTGTTAATCTTGGAGAGTAATTATGCATTCTTATTTCTCAAAGTAGAGTCCAATATATATAAATATATAGAATATATATATATATATATATATATATATATATATATATATAAAACAGTTCAAATATTAATAAATAACAAATCTGACAGTTTTTGCTTTTTAAAATTTGGACAATTTTCAATTCGTTAGGCATGAATTGGTGAATTACCAGTATATATATATATATATATATATATATATATATATATATATATATATATATATATATATATATATATATATATATATATATATATATATATTAGTGGTAAATATACACAAACATATGCAAAATATATAAATATATATACATACATGCATATAAATACGTATATATTTTTTGAATAAAAATTTGAGAGGATACAATCCAGGTAGAACTCAATTGCTAGATTAGATAATCGTTATATTTAATATTTATATGTTTATATTTGATTTGTAACCTGTAGCCGATATTAATTTTGTCAAATTTTCTTAATTACACAGCGGCCCTTTTAATAAATGCCGTTCAGTTTTAGTTTTTCCCCGCCCCATCTCTCTCCCCACCCCTTTTTCTTTTTTTTTCCTCTCCTCCTGTTCTTCTGATCTTTAAGATTAGATCGTCTATTGTGTGTGTATGTCACTACAAAATGTATCCTTTCGGTTACATCTTTAATGTATTAGACATCCGACAACATTCATATTTCTCTCACTTAAACCGTCTTTGACACCTCTCTAAAACTTCTCTCTGTTAAATTTGAATCTCCCACCTTCTCTCGTCTGTTACCCCTCGCTATAGCTCCAATATTCGTCCCACACTCTCATACTTACTCTCTAAATTCTATTTTTATTTCCGAAGTTGTTTTTTTTCTGTTTTCTTTTTGAATTTATAGGTCTGATGAATTGGATCATATTTACGTTTCAATGGAATAAATTATTATTTTTTTATTATATATATATATATATATATATATATATATTATAAATTAATTGATTTAAAATATGGTTAAAATTGGTTAAATTGGATTAGTTCCATTTCATCTTCAAGCGAATTTTGAAATGGAACTAATGGTTTTCCAAAATTAAATTGGGGTTTTAGCTTCTATTTTTTGAAACATGGTTATAAAAAAAAAAACCAATTAATTTATAATATTAATTTTGTAAATTTACATTGAGCACTATTTTTGTAAAAATAAAAATATCTATAAGAACACCGGATTTTATATCTTACTGTTCTTTCTTTTTATTTATATATATACATACATATATATATATATATATATATATATATATATATATATATATATATATATATATATATAATGGCTTAAACACTAATATTCCATGGTCATAATTTATTCCATTGGAATCGTAAATACGATCCAATTCATCAGACCTACAAATTCAAAAAAGAAAACAGAAAAAACAACTCCGGAAATAAAAATAGAATTTAGAGATGTAAGTATGAGAGTGTGGGACGAATGTTAACTAAAGAGAGGGGTAATAGACGAGAGAAGGTGGGAGATTAAAACTTAAATAGAAAGGGTTTTTTTTTTGTAAGTAGAGGTGAGTGGAAGGGGAAATATGAATGTTGTCGGATGTCTAATACATTAAAGATACATTTAGTGGTGACACACACATAGACAATTTAATAAAGATCAGAATTTATATATATAATATATATATATATATATATGTATGTATATATATATATATATTTCTTAGCTCTGTTTAATTACATTGAGAACTTTGTATCTTATGTTAAATTAAGTAAATATTTATTTGCTTATCTGTGTGTGCACGCTAACGCACACGTATATACAGTTACTAATATCTAATTATTTCGATTGGTTTTTATTACAGCATATCAACCTCAATGAGTTATTTAATGCCGGCAAAGTTTTTATTGCTGATAATAATTTTTTTCAAAAAATGTATTTCTGGTAATATTTTTTCTTCAAAAATCTATTGCTGATAATATTTTTTCAAACAATATAAAACTGGAAATATTTTTCTTTTACAAAAATGTATACCTAGTAATACTTTTTTTCAAAAATATAATGCAGGTAATTTTTTTAGTCCAAAAATATATTGTTGGTAATATATATATATAGATTTTAAAATGTATTGCTGATAATAATTTTTGCTTCAAAAATTTATTGCTGGTAACAATTTTTTACAAAGTATTTCTGGTATTAAAACCTATTTTTACACTTTCATCCAGTTTTGGTTTTAAGTATTTGCCCATAGCTGTGACCCTAGCAGGTGCTACCACCCCGGGTTAAGGTGGACCTTGGAACACCATCAATTAAGAAGTGGTTCCACGCTCCTCAAAGCCACCCAATCAAAGACCTTACTGTTGGACATAGTTTATCGTGTTACCCTGGACGCGGATATAGTTTATTGTCTTACCCAGAACGCTAATTGTTTGGTTTATATACACTTTCTCTTTCTCTCTCTCTCTCTCTCTCTGTCTCACACACACATACACACACACACACACACACACATATATATATATATATATATATATATATATATATATATATATATATGTGTGTGTGAGATAGATAAGACCAGACTGAGATAGAAAGATACATACATACTACATACATACATAAGAACTGACTGTATATATATATATATATATATATATATATATATATATATATATATATATATATAGAACTGACTATTAAATATATATACATATATACTGACTGTTATATATATATATATATATATATATATATATATATATATATATATATATATATATATACAATAAATACATGAATTATTCATACAAAATATGCAAAGGTTATATTTATGGCAAGACATCCATCTTGCAAACGATTCAAATATACACAAAAACCTCTAAATCCGTTATGCATGAGTTGATCCTTGTTTATATAAATTTCTGCCGTATTAGTTGTTATTTTTACTACAAGCTTTCGTCTGTTTACAGACATCGTATATATAATAGATGTTGTTCTTGGTTTTTTCTCTTAGTAATATATATATATATATCAGTTTTTACAGTATCTTTCATCACAGTCAGTTCTGATCTATCCCCTCAATATGTTCTTTTTCTATCTATCTATCTATATATATATATATATATATATATATATATATATATATATATATATATATATATAAGTGTTTTTAAATAGGTAAAAGTGTTCAATATCATAGATAGAGCAGTAGATGTAAATATGAAAGAGGACACTGAGATCAACACCAAAGTAGCAACAGTCTATTTCATGCTTGAATGGTATTTTCTGGCCATGTGGGTTGACAACCCTCATGGCCAGATCACATTGAAGCATACTAGAATAGAAATTACTACGCACAAAAGCAACCAACACTATTACCTTGTCAATGAACGCCTTACGGCAGATACCTTGAAATTCGATACAAGTCACTCTCTTCTCTCTCACACATGCGCAGATCGATTTATAAATAATCGATTCTGATTCTGGCACGCTTTCAAGATGCTCGAATAAGCAATGATTCGTTACTAGCAAAGAATCAAGGTTACGCAGTGTCTCTCTCACTTTCAGCCGAAAACGTAGTCCATTAAATTTCTCCGTCAGATCAATAGGCATCCAACGTAGCGATTCGCGTATCTAATTGTTTTCAAATGCCTTACACCACTCATCTGAAAAATGTGGAGTATCTCTGCGATGTCCCGTATTACGTGACCTGAGTAGGAACTGTTAAATGTAGCCGTCTCTTCTACTCATAGCTTCATGTCTCGCACCTCTCGCCTGTGGAACTCCCTCCCCTTTTCCTGTTTCCCTGATAGATATAATCTCCAACTATTCAAATGTAATGTCAATCGACGTCTCCAGATGCCTTGATCTATCTCCTATCTTTCTCTTCATCCTTTCCTCTATCGCTCCTCTTTGCTCTAGCTACAACTCTCTGTAACCCCTTGCGTGCTAGTGGCTTCCCGCCTTGCTTGGGGTGAAAGCTTAAAAAAAAAAAAATAAATAAAAAAAAAAATAAATAAAAAAAAAAATAGCAGCACAACTGCCGGAATATTCTCAATCTTCCAGGTCTAAATTTCTACTTTTGAACTAAGCGAACGACATACAATTAGTGATTTCAGCTACGGCACCAGCTCCACAAATGGAACATATATATTTTGCTGTTTGACAGCGTTTTCTTTATGTACAGAAATGAATTAGCAGGAAGTTACGAAAATTTCCCGCCATTTTCACATTTAACTTAAAAATATTTAACTTTTGCAACCCACACAGGAATTATGTAAAAAGATGCGTTGATAAATAATTTGTATATCTTACAAATTTCAGTCACGTATGAAACGAAATCAGGTGTTCAAATACCTTCTATATATAAAAAAACAACTACGAATGAACGATTGTTCCAAGACAATACTTTTAAAAAATTCTTTTATAAAGTGAGTGGGACTGGAAAGGCAGACCTACTCACTTCCTCTCATATAAAAAAATAATTTTTAGCTGAAAACAATTTCGATTCGTGAATCTAAATAATAAGGAAATTTTGGTAAATTTTATCAACAATGTTTCTTGCCATTAGCTTTTCTTTTTCACATTTCTCTTTCCATAAATTTAATTTCCAGTCTTTCGTTATTACTTTACTTTCCTCTTCGCTCTAGACTTTCCCTCTACGCAAAGCTATTGACTATCACGTCATCTCTCTCTCTCTCTCTCACACACACTCTCTCTCTCTCTCTCTCTCTCTCTCTCTATCTATCTATCTCAGTCTCTTCATTATCTATCTATCTATCTATCTATCTATCTATCTATCTATCTATCTATCTATCTATCTCAGCCTTTTCATTATCTATCTATCTATCTATCTATCTCAGTCTCTTCATTTATATCTATCTATCTATCTATCTATCTATCTATCTATCTATCTATCTCAGTCTCTTCATTATATCTATCTATCTATCTATCTATCTATCTATCTCATCTATCTATCTCTATCTCTTCATTATCTATCTATCCATCTATCTATCTATCTATCTATCTCAGTCTCTTCATTATCTCTCTCTCATCTATCTATCTATCTATCTATCTCAGTCTCTTCATTATCCATCTATCTATCTATCTATCTATCTATCTATCTATCTATCTATCTATCTATCTCAGTCCTTTTCATATCCATCTATCTATCTATCTATCTATCTATCTTAGTCTCTTCATTATCTATCTATCTATCTATCTATCTATCTATCTATCTATCTCAGTCTCTTCATTATCTATCTATCTATCTATCTATCTATCTATCTATCTATCTATCTATCTATCTTAGTCTCTTCATTATATCTCTCTATCCTATCTATCTATCTATCTATCTATCTATCTATCTATCTCAGTCTCTCATTATCTCTCTCTCTCTATCTATCTATCTATCTATCTCATCTATCTCTCTCTCTCTCTCTCTCTCTCTATATATATATATATATATATATATATATATATCTCAATCTCTTCACTCTGTCTCTCTCTATATATATATATATATATCTATCCCATGAGGATTGATTAGTTAACTCATCTTATAAACTGCACTTATGTCATTCTGTGCAATCCGAAATGAAGCTGAGTAAACAGACTTCTCTCTCTCTCACTCATTCTCTCCCCCCCTTTCCCCCTCTCTCTCTCTCTCCCCCTCTCCCCCTCTCTCTCTGTTTTTTGTTAACGACATCATTACCCCCCACCCCCTACCGGCACGGAATTTGTGAATGTTTCTTTCAATCTGTGTTTATTTTTATTCCCTCGCACTTTTTCTATTCCTTTAATTCTCCTCCGACATCATTTATAATTCTTTATTTACGTCTGCCTTACAATCTTTTTTTTTTTTTTTTTTTTCACCCGTTCCCCTCTGCCTTTCTGTTCATCCCATATTTACTCTCGTCTTTTCTTCCTCTCTATTCATGGCTTGTCTTTCTCTGATAGGAAATTATTCAAATTGATTTCCATGGCAAATCAATTTTTTCACCTTTTCTGCCGGCATTGTTTCTACCTATCCATCCGCTTCGCCCACGCCTTAATTATTCCCATGATTCTTTTGTCTCACCGATCCAGTCAGCACCTCAGCTCCTTATCTATCACCCAAACGGACCACGGGTAGGAATTAAAAACAACAACAACAACAACAACAAAGCAAAAGAATTACTGGATATGCATATATATATATATATATATATATATATATATATATATATATATATATAGGCACGAATAAATAAACAACAAAAACAAAGCAAAAGAATTAATGGACACACACACAGAGACACACACATACACACATATATAAATATATATGTATATATATAGAGAGAGATGAACAGAATGGCATACGTACATAGATATAGAGAGATAGATATAGAGAGATAGATAATAGAGACTGATATATATATATATATATATATATATATATATATATATATATATATATATATATATAATGAAGTGACTGGGATAGATAGATAATGAAGTGACTGAGATAGATAGATGTATATATGTACATATATGTGTGTTTATATGTGTGTATGTACAGGCAGAGAGGGGAAAGGCATACATACATACATACATACATACATACATACATACATATATATGTAGAGAGAGAGAGTGAGAGAGAGAAAAAACGATACTTAGATGTAACAAACGCTGATGTATAAATATCTATAAATGATGTATAAATATCTATAAATACATATATGATAGATAGATAGATAGATAGATAGATAGATAGATAGATAGAAAGAAAGAAAGTTCAATAGGGGGAGAGAGAGAGTAAGAGAGAGAGCTTAAATCAACACCACAGTTGCATTTTGGGATAGATTAAACCTGGTAGTCTCCTTTTTGCTTTTAAATTTTCAATTTTTTTGTTCGAGAGATGTAGATTGATGCTGTTTTTTTTTTAAAGCTGAATTGTCGGACGGTGATCAGATTCTAGTGGTAGTCGCCAATCTCCCCTTTGCACTGATGAACACGTGAAAGATATAAATTCAACTTTGCAAGTGAACCGTCCAATTGCCATCATTCTTGTAGACATTGGTTGGCAGTAAAGAAAAGGAAATTGTGTGTAAGCGTTTAGAAAAGGCATAAAAATTGATCGATTGCCATTATACTAGGAAATTAGTAGCTGTTAAGCCTTAGATTCACGACGGCGACCCCCAGTACCAACAGGAGTTCCCACACCGCTACCACGAGTTTTATCGACATCACTACGACTGCAGAAGTTCCCAGTACAGTATTTTAGATCATGTTAACGAACACTTAGAAGCATCTATGTATGTATGTATGTATGTATGTATGTATGTATGTATGTATGTATGTATCTATCTATCTATCTATCTATCTCAGTCTGTCCTTGTCTGTAATCTATCTATCTATGTTTTTATGTATGTATGTATGTATGTATGTATGTATCTATCTATATATTTGCGGATGTATGTATGTATCTATCTCATTCTATTCTTGCCTATCTATCTATCTATCTATCTATCTATCTATCTATCTATCTATCTATGTTTTTATGCATGTATGCATGTATGTATGTATCTATCTATCTCAGTATGTTCTTATCTATGTATGTATGTATGTATGTACGTATGCATGCATCTATCTATCTATCTATCTATCTATCCTAGTATCTTCATTATCTTTCTCTCTCTCTCTCTCTCTCTCTATCTATCTATCTATCAATCTATCCCGGTCTCTTAATTATTATCTATCTATCCATCTATCTAGTGATTTTCCAAGCGTAGCTTAGATGTGGCACAAGGCCGAAAGTAGGGAGCACCCGGTGAGGATCAAACTCACTATTCAATCGTAATTGTTCTAGTCAGACAAGCTTGCTAACCATTACACCACCTCGAGGTGCCCATCTATCTATCTATCTATCTATCTATCTATCTATCTATCTATCTATCTATCTATCTATCTATCTCAGTCTCTTCATTATATCTATCTATCTATCTATCTATCTATCTATCTATCTATCTATCTATCTATCTATCTATCTCAGCCTCTCATTATCTCTCTCTTTTATATATATATATATATATATAACTCTATCCTAACACATTCTACTACACGCAAACACATACACAAAGCAGGAACCCCAATACATACCACCACCACACGCATTCACACCCACATAAAAAAATACAATTATGAACATACACTGAACAGCGCAAAAAAATAAACCTGTACAGACCACCACACCATAACACAAACAGTCAAAGATCAGAACACACACACATTCACACAACCAACTCTTACAAATACCACCTAGCACAACAAACCAAACCAGGCAACCATTACCTATATCCAGGAGTACAACCAGAATTTCACAAAAAGTTCTACACACAATCCACATACAATCAATACAAAACAACAAACCTAGGAACATCTGGAACAGGCCCCTAACAAAAGCCAACACACCTATATAGAGCCATCGAGAAACAACAACCCCAATTTTACCAAGGGAAACTCTCACTGGCTAGAAAACTCAAAATGTACAGGAAGAAGGTATCTATTAGAAAACCCAAGATATATTAAAAGAAACAATCATTATTTTTTAGAAGCCCCAGTCCGAACAAGAAAACCCGTTTAGATGACACAAAAACCCAAAATAATAAACCTATCTACATATACACTTACAAATGACGAAATCAACCTACTGAAATTGGGCCTAAAATTCTGTCCTGCTCCTAAAAGCAATATAGTAGACCAAAAAAAAAGACATTAGGAATTTGAACGCAAACTGAGACTAAGAGAAATATTTAACAATAGCGAAAGTAGTACAGATGAGTCACTAGTAAAAAACAAATCCAATTTATTCCCAAACAAAAATAACAATACCAATGAGGTAAATATATTTTTTGAAAAACTCTGGAACCTCGACCTACAGGAAAAATCCAAATCATTCAACAATCTCACATATAGACAAAAAATAATAACATAATTATAAAAGAAGCAGATAAAGGCAGCGCTATAGTGATCATGGACAGAACATACTATAAAACAAAAATTCTAGAAACACTAGAGGATAGGAACAGCTACAAAGTAATTGACACTAACATAGACAAAAACATTATAACAAAAATTACAAAACTCTGCACAACACATAATAAAATATTAACAAAAAAAGAGAAGGATTTCCTAATAAACTTTGTACCAAAAACAAGTAATTTTACGGACTACCTAAAGTTCATAAATCGAGTGAAATAAAAGCAGCTATACATACACAAAATCTGAATACATTAGCATCCCAAAACCCCAGTGACCTTACATTCAGACCCATAGTAGCAGGACCAGTCTGTCCCACTAGCAAACTCAGTAACCTAATAGACATAATATTGCAACCATATACTAAACAAATTAAAAGCCACATCAGAGACGATATCCATTTCTTAGCTGCATACCACAAAAGGTAGATCCGGGAACGCTTATGGCAACTTTGACATCAGTAGCCTATACAGTAACATACCCCATGAACTAGGGGAAAAAGCGATCTCATTCTGGATTGAAAAACATCCAGAAATATACATCCGAGATTCACTAAAGAGTTCATTATCGATAGTATAGACCTAATTCTAAACAATAACACCTTTGAATTTGACAACAAAACTATATCCAAACCCTAGGTACTGCGATGGGAACAAAAATGGCATTCAACATATGCCACCCCTAACATTAGCTTACCTAGAAGAAAACCTCTATGAAAAGATAGAACAAATATATGGGACAAATATAAAGACCCAATTCACTAAATCTTGGAAAAGATATCTAGATGATTGCTTCATCTTTTGGAAATCATCATGGGGTGATATTAACCAATTCCATACACTACTTCAAAACTTACACCCAAAAAATCAAATTCACGCAAGAATATAATTTTAACGAATTACCATTTTTAGATATACTCATTAGAAATAAAAACAACCACATAATCACAGATATCTACCACAAACCCACAGACACCCAACAATACGTTCATTTCAAGAGCCATCACCCAAAAAGCTGCCTAAAATCCATCCCCTATTCCTAGCACGTAGAATTTGTACAATAGTGACTGATAAACACGAAAAATCCGCTTAGAAGAACTACATAAAACTCTCAAGAAACGAGGCTACCCCACAACACTAATAAACAAAGGTATTGAACTCAATGAAAGAAATTCCTCTAGACCAACTTAGAAATAAAAAGAAACGTAACGTCGAACAAACTCTAGCATATGTCTCAACGTACAACAAAAACAACCAGAAATATTCCCAGAAATCACAAAAATCTAGATTTACTTAGCAAGAATAATAAACTGAATAATATACTAAAAACAACCAAAATAATTAAGAGCAAACGCCAATCTAGAAACCTAAAACACATATTAACCTCATCTAAATTTAGTCAACACAAAATACAGGAGTCACAAAATGCAACAAAAAAAAGATGTGGAGTTTGTGACATCATTATAGAAGGAAACCCTACACTTTTGAAAACCCAAAAAAACATTCACAATAAACAAAAACTTAAACTGCAACTCCAAAATGTAGTTTATGCACTTAAATGCACAAAATGTAAGAATCATATATAGGCATCAGCCAACAACTGAACAACAGGGTCTCCCTACACAAAAGCAATATAAAATTGACAGACAACAGAAAACTTTTTGTATCACAACACATTTTCAAATGTAACCAGGGTAAGTTTAATATCATGATATATCAAACAGACAATTACTCGTATCTACAAATACAGGAAAAAAAACTTTATAGACAAATTCAAACCCGAACTGAATAGATCGTAACCCCCAAAAAAAAAAACATGCACACAGGGTGACCAAATACAATGATCGCTCACATACATGGACGCACACTCATATACGGGAGACACGAGGAAAGATATATATATGTATGTACACATACATACATTTATGTATGTATATGCGGATGTTGACAACTTAAGAAGTGTGTGTGTGTGTGTGTGTGTATGTAAAAATGTGTGTGTGTGTGTGTGTACTGGTTCCATGTAGCTTGGGAAATATGTGTGTATATGTGTGTGTACTGACTACTTGTGGTGGGATAAATGTGCGTATGTGTGTGTATGCGTGTATAAGTACAAATAAGTTTACGAATTTCTCGTAGTAAGGAAATATACGCACGCATATATACACGTCATGACAGGAACACGCCAAAATAGAAACAGATCCAAGAGCACATAGAGGTCACTAAAACATTAAAAGATTAAATGCCGATAACTACTCGCTGGACAAACCTTAATTGTTTTATGACCCTTCACGCAGAACTCTTCATTGACAATTCTAGAAAGAAAATTCGGATTGCCAACACACAAACAGAATGTCTCATATCGAGAATATTCCATATTGAACATGAAGAAAAATTAATTATTTTTAATAATATGTAAAAATCTCCACTTTCACCTGAAGACGGTTTGCGAGACCAGACCAGAAACACGTGTCGTGAAATTATGTAAAACAAAGTATAATATTTTTTTCTCAATAAATCCACATTACAACCAAAAACGTTTGCGGCACCCCTCTTCTTTTTAATATACATACTTTTTCTCTCGCTGGAACCACTACAACATATTTCCTTTATATATATATATATATATATATATATATATATATCCCATGAAGATTGATTAGTTAACTCCTTATAAACTGCACTTATGTCATTCTGTGCAATCCGAAACGAAGCTGAGTAAACAGACTTCTCTCTCTCTCTCTGTTTTTTGTTAACAACATCATTAACGCCCACCCACTACCTACCTACCTACCTACCTATTTATCTATCTATCTATCACTTTGTTCAGCTCTTTATGTTTTGTACTATAAATCAAGGACTGTAAGTCAACAATATGTTTCAGTGAATGTATATATATATATATATATATATATATATATATATATATATATATATGATACAATTATAATTTTAAGGCATACTATATTTCTAAAGATATGCGTTGAAGTATGAAACAGACTGTCACCGCCTGTTGTTGAATTCAGTGTCGACGAAAAATTCTAAAAGACTCATTAACACTAATATATCCCCCACTGATCCAAGTAAGAAAAAATAAAATTTATTATATACTATACTAAAATAACCAACGTAGTCATCCATTACAACTCTTCTCCGTCAACAGACTGAGATAGATAGATAGGTAGATAGATAGATAGATAGATAGGCAAGAACAGAATGAGATAGATACAGACATAAGGGAGATTTCGTCTCTGATAAAAATATACGATTCTTGGTTTCACAACAACGACGATGGCGGGTGAACTTACGTTTCACTTGAACGATCATAGTTCAGTCTCAGAACATTTAAAAGAACACTCATGTCGACATTCTCAGTTTAGACAGATGTTAGCCGAAAATATATCATTGCTTCATCAAGATAATAATAATGATAAGCTTAAAATTCTGTAAGCTCTTTATATGAGAGAATTGCGGTCATAAATAAAGTCAACTACAAGTATAGCAATAAAGTTCTTAAGTGTTCGTAGCAGCAAAGTGTTATATAAAAAAATACTAATTTAAAATACTTCAATTAAAAATCTTTAAAAAAAAATCACATAAGTTACCTCTCTTAGATATAAAAATATTTTGAATTCACTTTTTTAACGCAGTACACATCCATAGATATGTAAACACTGAAAATGGTCTAAGATGATATTGTAAGTAAAATTATTTGAAAGAAAATTTAAAAAATTTTTCTTTAATCAATTTTTCTGCAGCTATCAAGAAATTAATTCGTAGACGTGAAAGGATGGAAACTTATGGCGAATAAAACAATTTTAAGTGACCAAGAAAATGGGTATAAGTAAGAGGCAATATGAGCAAGCACCGAGAAGCTGGCGAGAAAATACACTTTTTCGACTGAATAAATATTCTGTCTTTGGAATCAGAGTACCAGAGAACAGCGATTCCCATTTAAGAAGAGGTGAAAACAAATTCCCCCCTCCCCGGTGAGACATGGTTACAATTTTATTTTGTTTCATTCGCCATTTGTTATCGTTAAAATTCCCGACATCCTCGGTTTATCTGAGAGAACACCTTTCTGTCTTTCCCCAACATGGCGGAAGCTAACCTACAGGAGTGTGACTCATTGCGACTGCGCGGTCTAACGTTCTCTTCTGCCATGAGAATGGAAAGATTATACTGAATCAATTGCTCAGGTCTACTGCTAAATAAAGTTGGTTCACTGTGTCGTGATAAGACAGTTTTTCTCGCCAGAATCTATTTTACATATTTATAAGTCTACCATTTGTGCATCCTTCAAATATTGCTGCCACATATGGTCTGGTGCTCCTGCTATCTATTTAGAGATTCTTGACCGCCCCCCACCAAAAAAAAATTCAGCAATATTATTGGTTCTGATCTGGCATCTCGGCTTCAGTCAGTTTACAACCGCTATGATGTATCTTCCCTCTGCCTTTTCTATAAATATTTCCATGGTAATTGTTCTGATGAAGTTTCTTCTATGGTACCTAAACTTTATGAATTTAAGTGCAGTACTAGATTGGTCTCATCATTTTACAGTTCAAATGGATAGATGTAACCATAAGTTCTATGTTAACAGTTTCTTCTGTCGCACTTCTTGCTTGTGGAACCCTCTTCTGGCTTCTTGCTTCCCATTCAACTACATTCTTTAAGAATTGTAATGCAATAGCAATCGTTATCTTTCGTCTTCTTTACTCTTATTCTTGTATTGTTTTGATGATCTTTCCTCTATAATACGGAGATTTTATGAATTTAAACGCAGTACTTGATTGGCGGTAAGGTCTCATCACTTTGCAATTGAAATGGTTAGATGTAACCGTAAGTTGTATGCTAACAGTTTCTTAATCGCACATCTCGTTTGTGGAAATTTCTTCCGGCTTCATGCTTTCCAGCCAACTTTGATCTTGGAAACTAAATGCAATGTCAATCGTTGTCTACTGTCTTCTTGATTCCTCTTCTTTTATTGTTCTTGCTAATGTTTTTCTTTTTCTTGTTATTTCACATTCAATAACATTCCTTCCGTCTTAGTGGCTTTATTACTTTGCTTAGAGTGAAATGATAAAAAGAATCTCCTTGAGGTTATGTACTAGGAAAATTAAAGTGGGATGTCATATTGATGAAATATTCTGTCAGCCACTCGAAGACAAACATTTCTTTTCCTGTCTTTAACACTATCTACGAATTGTCTTTCGTCTCGGACTCACTAATGGCGAAAGACGGCATATAACTAAAATAAAGAAAAAATTAACAATAACCTCAAAATTTGTACCGCCATTTTAAAATACCAGTATTTTTGTTTCATAGGGGCTATCTTAATGTCATTACTAGTTTTTAAAATTACCAGCGTTAGATATCGCCATTGTGTGACAGTGAATTAAACTAGAGTTTGATAGCAAAGCGGGAAAATTAAATTACACTTTTCTTTTCAGTACAGTACAAATAGTAGTTGCGCCTATCAATGTGTAGCTTCATACCGACAAAATACTTTGTCAGCCGCCATAGGAAAAATAAATTTCTCGCGTGAGATCTCGTCATTCGACTGCAAGTGATTAAAAGGGTTGTCTGCATCGAAAACGAAAGAACTCTTCAATTTTGGAGGTTTTTTTAATCATTTCCTATACCAAGTAAGATGCTTCTTGTATCGAGTTGAGGCGATTCAAATCTCTAATGAATTGCCTTTTATTTGCCATCAATTTTGCATGGCCGACATGTTTTCTATTTGCTAAAACTTCATCGTGTCAAGAGAACCCATATACATATTTCTAGTATACAAGTTTAAAATTGACGACTGAAATGAAATAAGTGAGCATCAGAAAAAATACAAATAAAAAACAAAAAACAAGGAATAAATACTTTTGCGGACGTGACAAATCCTAAAAGAAAATCTATTAATTTTCATACAATTATGAAAGTTTACACAGCAAAAGAAATAAAATAAAATAAAGTTGAAAACAAAGTTTCTTTGGTTGAATTTGTTTTCACTTTTATTATAGATTTCGTCTTTCATAATTTAATATACTTTGATTTAAATTGTTCTCGTATTTTCCTATTAAACAGATGGTCTCGATGACTGAATTTCAACTATAAAGATCACGAGGGAGAAAACAGTATTCATAGAGCCGATCTTTAACAAGATAGCCTCAGTCCTCAACTCTCATCTCCCAGTGTGTCAATAATTTTAAAACTATCAAAAATAGTATAGTTAGAAGATTGTCTCAACAGGATTTTCAGATCAGGTGGGCTATATATATATATATATATATATATATATATATATATATATATATATATATATATATATATATATATAAGTGGACAGTGAAGTCAACATCCAGAGGCGACAGCTTCTTTCACGCTTATCGCAATAGTCAGGCCATATATATATATATATATATATATATATATATATATATATATGTGTGTGTGTGTGTGTGTGTGTGTGTGTGTGTGTGTGTGTGTGTATGTGTGAATGAATGTATAAAATATAAGCTCTTCAACATTAAACTGAAATACTATTTAAACAAAGGCAAGCTAATGTTTATTTTTAAAACACTTCTTATAATATCCTTTAGATTACAGCTCTCTGCATTAGAGCTACAATCACTTTATTAACGTGTAGCTTTTAGTAATGCTCGTATTTAATACATTTTAATGTGATCCCGAAAAACATATATATATATATGAATAAAAACAAAAACACACACACACACACACACACAAACGCACGCACGCACGCACGCACACACACACACACACACACACAGTGGCTGAGATTGTTTAAGTATGTCGGATCTTACGACGATGTCTTCTGACAAAGGGGTGGTAGGTTCGAATCCTGCCGGAGAACACATATCTTTCTTTAATAAGATTTTACGAAAAGACAGGCCGATAGACAAAATTCAGTATACTTTTTAGTAAATGAACAGAACGTCTACTCAAATATGGGTATCCGCTAAAAATAAAGTTTAAGTAATAAAATCTGTCAGATTAATAAATAAAAAAGTCCATCATTTCTTTAGAAATATATATATCTATATATATATATATATATATATATACACAAATATATATATATACATATATATATATATATATATATATATATATATATATATATATATATATATAATACAAAAATGTCATAAATGTGGATGGCAACATGAATCAGGCAGAATTTCTATTCGATTGTATCCAGACATTGGCCTGTTCTTAAATCGTCTCCTGTCTCCCACTATTTACCTTTTCTTTCCTTGTCTCTATCTCTTTCCTATATTATTATATGAGGGTCTCTTTCTACTTCACTGTACACATCCCCAAAATTAGGTCAACATGTCTACGCCTCAATATATCTCTTTTAAGAAATTTGTCCCTTCCAAGCTTTGAATACGTCTGATTCCCTCCCCATTCTTGTCATTACCACCCCCCTCTCTGAATACATAATCTCTCGTCCCCTTCCCTACCCCAATTTTGAATCTGCATCTCCATTATCTCCCCTCTGAATATTTACCATTGGTCCTCTTCCCTCCCTCTATTTTGAATTTAAACAGAATTTAAGTTCAGCTTATTTTTTAAGCCTGGTAAAATATTTATCTATTTATCCATTTGTGCAATGTTCCGGTCTGAAGAGTTGAAATCGAAATTTCGATTTTAACGAAATAAATATCACCATGGCCTTTTAAAATACTCGTTTTCTTGATTATATATATATATATATATATATATATATATATATATATATATGTGTGTGTGTGTGTGTGTGTGTGTGTGTGTACATACCGTATATACTTGCGTATCATGCGACTTTTGAGGACCTAATTTTGAAGCTAATTTTAAGGGGGTCGCATCATACACGAGATATAAAATTAGCATATGTACTGCTGGCCCTGACTACGCCATTGACCAAACTATATATCCGTTTACTGTTGTCAAATTAGCTTCAAAAAGTAGGTCTTCAAGAGTCGCATATTACGCGAGTATATATATGGTAACTTTAAAAAATCCTTATAGCTAATCAAAGGACGGTATGGTAAAAAGTGGGGGATCAAATGTGTATTATTATTTAGTATTAAACGCATCCCCCATTTCTTGGCCATAGTAAATTCATAGATGAAATTCTAAAACATCCTTATAGGTAATCAAATGAAAGTGAGGGATCAGTTTTGTATTGTTCTTTAGTATTAAACTCCTCCCCCATTTCTTGTCCACTGTATATATATCGTATGTACTAACGTATCAAGCTACTTTTGAAGACCTAATTTTGAAGCTAATTTTAAGCAGGTTGCATCATACACGCGATATAAAATTAGCGTCTGTTACTGCTGGCCCTGGATACGACTCTGACCAAACAATATATTCATCTACTGTAGTCAAAAAGTACAGATTTATTTAAAATGAACATGATTTTGATAAAACTTAACTGTATCTAATAATAATTCATGTAATATTCACATATTAGTATCGTATTATAAAATACAAACATGGCGAATATGCATCTTTTCCATTGTTTACGTTTATAAGATGTTTAGCTGTTTCTTGTTCAGTTGTTTATGGCTGTACGTGTTTACGCCACGAGTATAGCGTTACTAACGATACTTTTTATCATTCTCTTTTACTTTTTAAACTTATTTAATTAGAAGATGATATAAAGAGATAGAGGAAAAGAGGTTAGTCTGTTGTAATTTGGTCTCTCAAATAAAGGAACTCGCATGATACACGAGATACATGATAAAATTATTTTTTATAAGTGAAAATTTGGGCGTCGTATGATACGCGATATCGAGCGTTACATGAATATATACGGTATATATAATTATTAAAACATCCACAAAAAAAAACAAAAAAACAAAGTGACTTCAAAATGTCACACACGCTTCAAAATGTCACACAGGCGCACAGGAAAGAAAAGAATTAATGCTGTAATGAAACTAAATTATTGAAATCATAATTTCCTGGTGCAGGTCTGACCGGCTACGACTGTTAGTTTCCTTCGTGGCAGTCACGCATTGGGTTTTTATGCATATCACCCCAGCAAGGTGCGAGTAAGGGGTTACAGAAACTGAGAGTAAGAGTAAAAAGGGGTGTTTGAGGAAAGGATAAAGAGAAGGACGGGGATTAGGATCAAGGCATCAGAAGATATCGATTGACATTACATTTGAACATTTGAAGATTATAGCTATCAGGGAAGCAAGTAAGAGGAAGGGAGTTCCACTGCTGGGAAGGACGATAGAAGAAGCTGCTGGAGTAGAAGAGGCAGTTACATTTATTTGTTTTGACAGTGAAAGGGTGGGACCGAGATGCCAACCTAGTAGCATGCTTAAATTCATGCAGTTGGGATATCAGTGAATGTAGCTTGTCAGAGCAATTGACATGAAAATATTTGTAGAAAAGACAGAGGGAAGCCACATCACGTCTGTGAGAAAGTTACTGTAGACAAGATTCTAGATCAGGGCCTATCACATTGCATATCCCTCTCTGGATTTTGTCAAGGCCTTGAGATGAACAAGCGTGGGCACCAGACCATATATGGCAACAGTATTCAGTGCAAAGACGAATGGTTGATTTGTAGATTTGAAGGATTGACTCAGGCGAGAAAAACCTTCTGGTGCAACACAGAGAACCAACTTTCCTTGCGGTAGATGAAGCTATTGATTCAATGTAGTTGTTCCACCACAGATCTCCACTGCCTCAAGGACACATGGTACAGTGGATAAAGGCATTAGTTAGATCCAGTGACAGGACCCAAAGAGTGTGAGTTCAATACCCGGTTAAGGCAGTGGAGAACTTTCAGAGGGGAATTAACAGGAGATAACTGATAACTGACATCCATTAGACATGGCACGTGGAACTAGAACTGCCTACACCAATGAGCGAAATAAAGGGGTCAATTCGACATTCCAACCACCTGAAGAAAGCCGGAGTGTACAACGGCCGAAACGTTGTAATAAATATGGCGATAAAGATGAGGACAATAGTCAGATAAATGTAAATAGTGTACATAATATCTCATCTCGGAACTATAGACAGATATATAACAATTATCAATGTATATTTACTTATATATTTCCTGTCTCATCTGAGACAGACTAAGATACAAGCGGTAATAATAAACACTTATTTACAAGTAACAATTATTTTCAAACAAATATTTCACTGTTTTTTTTTTTGTTTTTTTACTAACGTTGCCACAGTAAAGACATCAGGTCTCTAAATATTTCATCTATGGTATCCTAGATTCCACATATTTTTACCTTCTAAATATGTAATTGATATAACGATCAAGAGGTAAATTTAGTATTAATATTGTAGGTGCAATTATAAGTTCGCATATTACTTGTATATATTTTAGTTTTGCATTGGTATTCAAGATTTAACACAAACTTGCTCTATAACTATAGAATTCAATTTAAATAATTCCCTATGTTTTACATTGATTTGCGTAGTTAAGAAAATGTTGTCTATTGAAGATCATAAAATGGAAATTCACTGGAGAAATGGAAGCGAAAACGCAGGCAGCGATTACGCCTATCACAGGTTCAGGTGCAGACACGGCGGGAGGCTGATAGGCAAAGGTATTCGTAGGCTTCGCATCCAAGGCGCCAGGCAATAAGAGCAGAAGACGGGAGATCACGAGGTTCAGAGGCGAACTAATGAGGCATTAGAAGAGGAGAATAGGAGAAGGGAGGACCGGAGAGAGAGAGAGAGAAGAGAGAGAGAGACGGGGAGAGAGATAAGGAGAGGGGGAGAGAGGGAGAAGGAAAGAGAGTGAGGGAGAGAGAGAGCGGGAGAGGGAGAGAGAGAGAGGACGAAGGAGAGAGAGGGAGGGAGGGAGAGAGAGGGAAAAGGAGAGAGAGGGAGGGAGAGAGAGAAGGGAGAGAGGGAGAGAGAGAAAAGAAGAGAAAGGGAGAGAGATAGAGAAAGAGAGGGAGAGAGAGGGAGAAGGAAAGAGAGAGCGGGAAAGGGAGAGAGAGGGAGAAGGAAAGAGAGGGAGGGAGGAAGAGAGAGAGTGGGAGTAGAGAGAGGTAGAGAGAGGCAGAAGGAGAGAGAGGGAGGGAGAGAGAGAAAGAGAGGGAGAGAAGAAGAAGAGAGAGGGAAAGAGAGAGAGAGAGGGAGAAAGAAAGAGAGGGAGGGAGAAGGAAAGAGAGGGAGGTAGAGAGAGAGCGGGAGAGGTAGAGAGAGGGAAAATGAGAGAGAGGGAGGGAGAGAGCGAAGGGGAGAAAGAGAAGAAGAAGAGAGGGGAAAGAGAGAGAGAGAGAGAGAAAGAGAGGGAGAGAGAGAGAGAGAGTAGCGCAAAGAAGACAAAAAAGAAACAGAGGAAGAAGCTAATGGAAGAAGAGATGCTATGAGAGAACGTGTAGCTGAAAGATTCAAAATGAAGATTCTAACGCAAGCACAGCAAATATAAGATTAAGAGCGGAGGAACGTCTTCGACAAGAAACTGAAGTGTCACAACAGGATGACGGATAAATACTATCGCCATGGGAAATGCAAGAGATGCGCAAAACAGAGTTCAGAGCGTAAATAATTTTCTGTTCCCTGCAGCCAATCATCAGCAAAAGAAAATAAGTCGCCATTTTTGACGGCACGGGTATACAAGTTGAAATTAATTGACCTAATTCGAGCTAAATGTAAATACAAATGTCTTCTCTAATTAGCTGCCATGAATCAACAGCGGAGAAAAGAAAAACAAATTATTAACGGCCCGTTTTAAATCTTCTTTTGGGAAATTACACAGAGACGGATGGGAAACTGATCTTAGGAACAAAAAAGTGTTGAACTTCTAAATCATATATGTCTTATAGTGATATTCCAAGCGTAGCATGGATGTGGCACAAAGCCAAAAGTAGGGAGCACCCAGTGAGGATCGAACTCACTACTCAGTTGTAATTGTTCTAGTGAGACAAGCTTGTTGACCATTACACCGCTTCGAGGTGCCCACTCATATATGCCTTATATGTCAATGGATACTGGACAGTCGCCTCACAGATGAGGACACTTGACGCAACAACTGCTGTTAATATCATCGCTAGAATATGCGAATAATGAGGAATTCTTAAGAGAGCGAGAAGGCTGAAGAGAATTTATTATTTCAGGATATAGTCTTAACAACATAAGATATTCAAATGACGGCGCTCTGGTGACAGATTCAGAAAAGAAACTAAAAGATCTTAGAAGCAAGAATTAACTATGAAATATATTATGACAATGCAATGTGGCTACCAAAAGTGAAAGCCCCTAACGTTAAATTCAAGTAGGAACAGATATTTAAGTATCTGGTCTGGGGTGGCATAGTAACAAACAATGGTAAATGAAACATAGAAATCCGACGATGCAGAGGAAAAATAAAAGAGGTTTTCTAGAAATTAAATATTAAATTGGTTGATTTAATCTAGCAACATATCATCCTCTATGTGTTATTTAATGCTGAATATAAGTATTTTGAGCCCAACTCTACGCCTTCAACTATAGATAAAATATATTGCTGGTTTGGTTTGGTTTGATTTGTTTTACGGCATATCAAACTCAACGGGTTATTTAATGACGACCAGATTTTTATTACTGGCAATATATTTTTTTTCAAAAATCTGGTAATATTTTTCTTTTTCAAAAAGGTACTGCTGGTTTGGTTTGAAATCGGTCAAGGCTGGAAATTTAAGACTGGGCAGCTCCAGCGCAGATATGTCAACAATATTCCAATTCTTGGTACGATTTTACGCTTGTAAACATAGAGCATTTCAGGAGGAGTCCGGTACTATAGTGTTGCTACTCACACCTGACTCCAGGTTCGTTCTCAGAGTGCAGCTTCTCCTAATCAAACGCTTGTGGCTTAAAAATAACCCTTTGGCCAGATCGTCACCCACGAATTAAAACCACGAGACTTTCGTAGCAGTAAGCAACTTCTATTCTTGTTGTAACCTAGACGAGTGAAGCAGAGATTGGGTGAAGTGAAGTAAGGTGAACAGTCTAACGGACGTCTTCCCTTTCGTATCACTGCGAGATGATATCTCGTAACTTTCCATAGGACCTCTGCCTCTCTGTGTTTTCCGCTTGTAGTGACCACTGTCTTATAGAGAACAATGTTCTTTGTCTTTTCATCTTTGTTTAAAAATGTCATTTATCTTCATTCTCTGACCTTTATTTTATCCGGCTCATTTGCCATTGTTCTTGTTCGGACCCCTTAGCTAATAGTCATCAGGGCAAATAAATATCTGAAAAAATTCTGTGACAGCTCAGATGATTTCTAATAAACAATATATCTGGAAAGTTAGGATTGAGCAGCTCCAGCGCAGATATGGCAGCAAGACTTCATCTTTTGATCTGACTTTTGCAAAGGTAGAACGTGGCAGGAGGAGTCAGGTAGGTTCTGAAGCGATACAAGGAATCGATTATCATTGCAACATTTTCAGCGATGAATCGTACATGAGAGTTCCGCTTGATGTCTGTGTTGAATCTGAGCCCCCAATAGACGTTCAAGACGAGGTGCTTTACTGAGAGTAGAATCACTCATCGGGACGGGAGAAAGTTCGTGTCTCTTGGTTTGAATGAAGTGGTCTGTTTTAATTTTAAAACTCCAAACAATATTATATTTTATTTTATCGAGAACAGCCTCTAACCTGTGCTGGTGCAGACCCCACACACTCACAAAATTTCTGGTTACTCGATACGAACAATAATCATCATCATCATCATCATCATCAATCTCATGATCAGTTGCAGTCGTAGTTGCCGCTGCGCATCTGAGCACCTGAACAACTGTACCACATTACGCTGCAATGTCTGTGTTGAAAAGTGGAGGGGTATTCATTCATGCGTAGCGTGTCTTGGGCATTTAGACCTGACGGAGCCCATCCCTCTCCTAGTTTCTCGCTCACTCATCCGGGGTTCTCGATACATATCCTGTTCGATTTAGAAAGGGCCCAGAATGTTATTATCGAAGTAAGTAAGTATATATTATGAGGATATTTAGGATATATAACGGTCGACTATAGAATAGCGGGTATCCCGGCCTAAAGAATGCAATTCCAAAAGAATTGCTCTGCGAAAGAGCTAAAATGGTATGTTACTGAAGAGTAATAGAGAAAGTGAATCCTCTTGAAAAATGCCGCCTTTTCTGTTGATCTCAATGAGAGCTTCATTTCTCGCTATCAGCTGTAGAGTCTATTTTTTCATTATGCTGGATATTAGAGACGGGCCGGTAGCATAAGTATTAGCCACACGGAAAAGGTTAAATTCTAGCTTAGTTTATTTTCGCGCTAATATCCTTGAGAAAGGCATAGATCCATTTGTTTTCCCCTGGTTTAAATAGCAGTGTAGACTGGGCTCTCTAGCTTTGCATTTGGGGGATTTTGTTTAGTGGCATATCAACACTTCTATGGGTTAATTACTACCGAAATTTAAATATTTTGAACGTAATTTTATAAATTCAATTAAATGTATTTTGAACGCAATAGCACGCTTTCAACTACTGGTGAAATATATCGTTGGCCATTTTGCTCCAAAAATGTATTGTTGCTATTTTTGCTATAAATAGATACTGTTGTTATTTTTACTATCAATAGTACCGTTGTTTTTTGTTTTTTTTTTAATATAAAAATGTATTTCTGGTATTTTTTACTATTTTCATAACCTTTTTTTAGTTTTTGTTTGGGAGTTGACTATCTGCCCAGGTTCTAGCTTTGCGTGGTAAGCAGTTTAAGATAATTAACACGCTGACTTTCATACCATGGTGAAAACAGAAAGTCAATCATCTATAAAGTCATGTCAGTTTTATGACAATAAGGAAAAGGAGTCTGTAGTGATCCATGTTTATCTACGCCCTGAAGGGACATGACTTCAAAACAAATTCGCCCACTTCTTAATAGGCGCCGACCTACCAAAAGTCATTTTCTTCATTTTTAGGTAACGGCACAACTAAAATTATGTGTAAATTCAAATATCGTCCGGTTCACACTCCTCTCGGCCTTTTGCGCTGGAGTAGAGGTTCCTGCTAAAGTCTATTTCAATTCTATACTTCTAACGTCTCCGCCTGAACTCTGAAATTTTACTTACTATTCATTTGTTTATTTTTCTCTCAATAGGAGTTGATAGGTTCGCCTACCGTCCGGTTTACACTCCTCCCAGGTCTTTTGAAGAGGAGTAAAGTTTTTTTTTCCCTTTGTTTCCTGTTTAAGATTGGGGATCCGGTTCCTTACAAAGTATGATTCTCTTTCACTCCCAGTAAGCCGTTGCGTCTTAGTGGCATTATCGCCTTGCTTGGGGCGAAAAGAAATGCTGAATCCAACAGATTCAACCGAATTTTGAATCTATTTAAATATTCTAAAATCTACAGTTGAGCGATGTTATGCGTCTTTTTGAAGTTTATAAGTGTTTTTGCGATGTTTTTAGCACCCTGGGTAAGACGATAAAGTACATCCTCATCCTGGGTAAGACGATAAACTACATCCAACAGCAAGGCCTCTGATCAGGAGGTTTTGAGGGGTGTAAAACCACCTCTTAATTGCTGGTGTTCGTAGGTCCACCCTGACCCAGGGTGGTAGCATCTGTTAGGGTCCCAGCTATGGGCAAATAGTTAACCCACCAAACTGGGGTCAAAAAGCTATGAAAGTGTAAAAAAATAGGTTCTAACACCAGCAATGACATTTTGAAAAAAAAAAAAAATATTACCAGCAATACATTTTTTGAACAAAAATATTACCAGCGAATTTGTCGGGATTAAGTAACCCGTTGAGGTTGATATGCCATAGACCCCCCAAAAAAAAAAAAACGAAATCAAACCTTCATATGGCGATTTTCTAAGAGGTGTCCATAGTGATATTCCAAGCAAATCATGGATGTAGCACAAGGCCGAAAGTAGGGAGCACCCGGTAAGGATCGAACTAATTACTCAGTCGTAATTGTTCTAGCGAGACAAGCTTGCTAAGCATTACACTTCTTCGAGGGGCCCATAATGGATCGAACTCAATACTCAGTCGTAATTGATCTAGGAAGATATGCTTTCTAACCATTACACCATATATATATATATATTCCAGAAATTTGTGTTGGTAAATCCTAGAACAGGTTTTACATATCAATAAAGGAGAATAAACACATCAAAATAGATACGGGAGGGCAGTTTTCTTTACGGATGATCTGATTTGCCCAAACCCAACTAACTGGATTAAAAACCTAGCTAGATAAAATTATAAAAGCAATTTTTCTTGCTTCATCGGAAAGGTTTCCTATTTTTGGAGCCGTGTGTTATTCGTTAGACATTAATCTATGTTCTCCGTCTATGTATTATTTTCTTTCTGATTCTTAATAGAGTTTCTTTTTTCTTTTCAAAGAGAACTAAGGAAAAATCTCTATATTATTATATCCATGTAAATATACTTGAGAATAGTGGAGTGTCAGAAGGGGTGGACTGATGTGATCAAGAAGGAGACAGTAAATTAAATCAACGGACTGATTTTAGATTCAGGTACGAAAAGTTGACACCATTCTTTCCCGCGGAAGAAATCTTAACCTTTCTTTGACTTGTCTTAGCGTTAGTCGTTTTGTCAATAGTCCTGCAGTCACAGAAATCATAGATAAG